CTCTCTCTCTCCCCTTCCCCATCGTTCTTTTTGGTCGTCTTGTATCGTCTTATCTATGTTTATAGTTACTCTCTAACTGTCGCTCCTTCTCCCCTGCTTGTCTAGTCCCCATGTCTGTCGACCGATCTGTCGGCCCCTCCCTCCCCCCATCGCTCATTCCCTAGCCATTGACTCGCCTCATTCGTTTCTGTCTCAACCTGCAGTCAGTCTGTTTCCGGCCAATCACTCCCTGTGAGACGCTGCGGGCGAGCTTTTGTGATCCTGTTTCCTGTCTTTATTTATACTAGCTTTTGTACTTGTTACTTGTCTTTCCACTTGGCCGTTATTTCTTTCTCTTCCTCTTTCTCCTCCTCCTCCTCCTCTTTGCTTCTTCGTCTTCCTTCATTTCTTGCCGATATATACAAGTCCATGTCCTGGATATGTCGAATCCCCCGGGGCAACCATGGACGGAGGAGGAAAAGGTACGAGATCAACAAGGGCCCGTTGGTTACATATATAGTTATATCCCAACTAACTCTCCATCAGTATGCGCTGCTCACGGAGATCCTCAAAAAGGCCGGAGTCCATTCGGCTTATCTTGTCAGGATGATCAAGGACTTTCAAATCTCCCCCAGCTGGGCAGACATCCCCCTTCCTCCAGGTATAGACACTTGATCAATATATATGCGCCGTCGCCGTCTGCTGGGTTAGATCCGCCCGCCGTCGCCAAGCGTGTGCTGACCTCAACCTCAGGCCGGTCTCTGAACGCGTGCAAGGCGGCCTACTTGAATATGTCGCAGCAGCAACATATCCCACCACCACCGCCGCCAGCAGCAGCAGCAGCAGCAGCTCCTCCTCCGCCGCCGCCTCCGCCTCCGCCCCCGCCGCCTCCACCATCGCTACCATCGCCATTATCCATGCCGCCGGGGACCATCTCGTTCAATCATCCGCGTTCAGACGTCCCCATGCTTCCCGCAACCCTCCCGCCAGAGGGGAGCCAACTCCTACGGAAACGCGCCTTCACCACCACTGACGCTAAACCGTTCTTCACTCCGCGCGCCATCCAACCACGGCCTCCCGTCAGCACCGCCTCGTACAGCAGCGAGAGTGGCGCATCAACGGCGCATCTGTCCCCTCGCCTGGAACACCTCGTTCCCCGAGGGGGGGGAGGGGTGGCAGTTGGAGGCGGAGGCGGAGGCAGCGGCGGTAGCGGTGAACCTCCACGCAAACGCGGCCGCCCCAGCAAGGCAGAAAGTGAGCGCCGCAAGCTCGAAGCCCAGGCTCGTGGTGAGCCCTACCCGCTGCCTCGCAAGCTCGCCGCGGCCAAGACCAAGGCACCCTCGTTAAGCCCTTCCAGCCCGGTGGGCCTAGACTCGGCAAGTTCGTTTCCTCCGTTATCCAGGGAACCGCTGAGACTGGAACGATATTCTCTGCCACCCACGCCAACAACCCACCAGGCTCAAGGCCACCAACCTCACTCAACTCTCCAACCGGCCAACCTGAAGCCCATCCTACTCGACAACCCCCCTCCTCCCCGACCCGCCATCGTCCATCAGTTACTCCCACCCACCCGCCCGGACGCCGAATCGCGCCAGTTCGGTCCCCCCGGCACAACGACCGAGTCTCACAGCGGCGGGCGAATCTTCGACCCTGTTCCTGAGCGCAATGTTCATGGAACAGACACCGAGGGACATCGACGGCGCGCGAGTGACGCCCAACCCGTTGAGGAGATGAACATTGACACGTCCTAAAAAAGTGCTTACCCATTCCAAAGTCAAATCTCTTGCAAAGTGAACGCCATTTTTTTTCTTTTTTTTTCTTTTCTTGAATACTTGCTTGAATATTCAGGTGGCTCCCTGATTAGTGACGCTCGATTAGCGACAATTCCCTTAACCCCCCCCCCGCGCGGGGGACGAAGACACGTCTTTCAAGTTTTTGATGATGCATGTCCCATGATTCTTGGATTCATTGAATGCATTCTTCAGTCTTTACAGCGTTGGCAAAATGCACTTATGCTACCTTGTGATTCTCCTTTTTCTTTTTCTCCTTCTTTTTTTTGCCAGTTACCTAGCCTACAGGTATAGCTTGATCTTCTTGGTTATGATGAGCTACGATGTATATTAATGAGGTTGCAATAATAGAAACCTGACAGTGAGAATAGAAAAGAAAGAAATAGTAGAATGGATGAGAAGTATCTGGAGGAAATGCAAATAAGCCCATTTTCATGTAGTTGAAGAATCGCCCTTGGACTCCTCCATCTCACCGGTTGTAGAAGAAGAAGAGGGAGGTAAAGATGGAGATGGGCTCGTATTCGCAGCCGGCCTCAGCTGAGCCCTCATCAGCCCGATAACAGACGCTACAGATGGCACGGCCCTCTTATCACCAAGTTGCAAGCCGTCGGCACCCCCTTGTTCGTGAATTAGTCGTTTCACCTCTGCCTTCCCCTCAACACGACGCGTAAGGTACACTCGCGTCGGGCGGCGGCGAGAACTGATCCGCTCGATTTCCTGCCGGTACGCCGTTTCGTAGATGTCGAATTCGGCGGCGCCGGGCGACTCGCTCACCACGGGGACCGTCACGCTGAGATGGTTGCTATCTTTTTCATCATCTTCTTCATTATCTTCATTATCTTCGTTATCTTCGTTATCTTCATCATCATCATCATCATCTTCTTCTTCTTCTTGTTGTTGTTCTACTTCTTCCTCTTCTTCTTTCTTGTCTGTTTGGGTATCTTTGTCTGCCCCCGTATATGTCGACGGCCCAATGAAGAGAAAAGGAAATTCCTCTTCTAGCGGGTCGCGCGCGTGGCCGCGTGTCCCCTCGCGGCTCTGCTTGGTGAGCTGTGAACTGGCAGTCGAGAGAGCAGTAGACGAGCCCTTGTGGGATATGATCTGGCCGGGGCCGCTGGGGTTTGGGTTTGGGTTTTGCTCTGCCTGGTGGTACCCCTTGACGACGAGGTCGCGTTCCCACGCCTTGCGGTTGTAGGTGTCTAGACTCTGCGCTTTGGCTATGCCCGCGAGGAGGGCCGGCTCGGCCGTCAAGCTCTCCCCCGGGTCCATCTCTTCGGGGGGGGAGACAAAGTGCGACTCGTACTCTTGTCCGAGGATGCTTTGCATCGGCGGCGACGGTTTGTTTCGGTCGATGAGTCTCTTGAAGCGCCTCACGGCTTTCATCTGTAGATTTTTAGCATTACTTAATGGTTTGATATGTTTCAGTTGAATATAAATTAAATGGTAATCATACCACAGCGAGAATATGGTTCATGTTGGTTGTGATCGCAGAGTTCATCTCCTCTTCCGTCGGTGGCTCGACAATCTCCGAGGTGTTCTCCTCCTCTGTTAATAACGGGTCGATGCCGTTCTTTGTTACCCACGGATGGTCCTACTTTCATTAACATTGAGCAAATTCCATGTGTGGCTTTCTTGGTTCCCCCCTACTAACCCGAAGTTCTGGCATCGTGATCCGTTTCGAAGGATCCTTTTCCAAGATGCGAAAGATGAGGTCTTTGAAGCGGTCGTCGGCCTCGCCCTCGCAGACAACAGGATCGTTGCGGATGGCCTCGTACAGTTCGAAGATGCTCTGTTTCTCAAAGGGCAGCCGCCCGTAGCGGAGGCAGTATAGCGTCACGCCCATGGACCAGATATCCGCCGCCTTGCCCGAGACGTCGCCGTGTTTCGCAACGCATAGCTCTGGCGGTAGAAATGCCGGAGACCCCGCCGACTTGGCCGTGTACATGTTCGAGTCCTTCTCGAACATCTCGGACACGCCAAAGTCTACAACCTTGAGCACGTCGTCGTTCGTCACGAGACAGTTATCCGGCTTGATGTCGCGATGGACAATCCCCTGGGCATGCAGGTATTCGATGCCGAGGATTAGATCGCGAAACCAGCATCGGCAGGCCTCGTCGCTGTACGAGTCGGCCCGCTCCTCCAGTCCGACCTTCATCACCACCCCTTTCTTACACATCTCCATGACCATGTAGAGCGAGTCTTCTGTCGGGTCGTCCAGCACCTCGATCAATGAGACAAGGTTGTTGTGGTGCAGCTTCTTCATGATGGCAATCTCCTCTTTGATTAGATACAGCGGGTTCTTTGCCTGGTCCTCGTTTTCGGACGGATTCCGGTGTAGAGGCGAGTTGAAGCCCGCGCCAGGGCGCCTTGGCCCTCGAGGTCTTCGTAGGAGATGCGATTGGGCCCGTTTCCTTAGCCGCGATTTGGAGAACTCTTTCACAGCCTGACTTTCTTAGCGTATATATCCACCATATAAGAGGTGTTGATTATTTTTTTTGTCTCATACATATTCATTCCCAAACTGGTCGGTGGCAAGATGGACGGCACCAAACGAGCCGCGCCCAATCTCTTGCTTGATCACATACTGGTTGATCCGGTGTTCTGCCGTACCGTCGTCCTGGCTGGTCGTATATTCCGAACGAGCGTTGAGGGTTTCCTTCTACCATCAGCGGCTGGGGTCTGTAGGAGACAGCTATGGGCGGGAAGACTTGCAGACCTTTACAGGACGCCGGGCAACGGGATTCCGTCGATGATGGCGTTCGGGGCTTTCATATAACGGCGTAGACCTGAGAGAGCTCCATTTAGCGCTTGTTCTATTCACACACTAGACGAAACATCTGCCCTTGCACTACAAACATTATACAAAAAAGGATCAACGTACGCATATCGAGCAGGCCGTAGATGCTGGAACGGAGGACGAACAGCCCCAGTCAGTCTGGGGTCCGCACTATCGGGAGCCATTGAAGCACCAGAGCCAGCGACACCACTGTAGATAACCGTCGTCGACCGAATCAAATCCCCGGGGTTGATGTTCTTGTTGTTGCGAATAAATGCTGCTGCCCACGCCTGGATCTCAGCCCAAATGTGGGGGAAACAACAAATACTGCTATCGAGGCACACAAAGCGGGAAAAGTCGGCGGGCTGTGGAAATAAGCGCAGGGATTTGACGCCCCCTGTAATCGTTTGTCTCGTCAGAAGGGCCGACTGGTGAAGAAGAACGGGGGATGGGAAGTTGAGAAGAAAAAGGAGGGGAGTCGATAACAAAAGAAGGTGGATTTGTTCATGCGCCGCCGGTTGCCAAGCACCGAGATAAAGTACGGAGAAGTGTCACTATCTATCTACGACCTCTCTCGCGATCGACGTCTCGTCTGGTTCCTCTAACCGCTCGCATCACGTTTACTGTTGATCAGCAGATCTAACGGTTTTCTGTATTTCTTCTGCTGCTCTGATGGTGTGAATTGTTTCCAACACCATGGTCGTGTTCTCGTTCTACATCTTTGACCGCCATGGTAAGTCCGCTTCCCTCCCCCTGACCCTTGAACCCCTCTTGCAAGCGGTGGGTGAATCCCTGACTGACGTGTTTGTCGATTCCATCAGCGGAGTGTATATACAAGCGACAATGGCTTCCTCGTCCTGTATCGATCACGGCCAAATCGTCACGGCCAGTCTCGGAACCGTCAGGCTTGAGCAACGGGAGTCCGGCGGTGTTCGGACAGTCAGCACGCACGACGGACGATGATGCGAAGCTCATTTTCGGGACAGTTTTTTCATTGCGCAATATGGTGCGCAAGCTTGGAGGCGAAGACGACAGGTATGGAATGACTATCTTGTTAGTTCAAAGGACGCGGCTGATAGATCCCCCTTCCTCAGCTTCGTTTCGTACCACACGAGTCAATACAAGCTTCACTATTTCGAGACTCCAACGAACATTAAGTTTGTCATGCTCACCGATACGAAGAGTCCAAGCATGCGCATTGCGCTGCAGCAGATCTACATCAACCTCTACGTTGAATACGGTGTGTTGTGGCTGGTTCTTGTGTTTTGATCATGCAGTCTCGCTGATTTAGGTCGCCTTCTTAGTGGTCAAGAATCCGCTGTCACCGGTAGAGCACCCAGGGGGCCTTGGAGTAAACAATGAACTTTTTGAGCAGTCTCTCGAACAGTTTGTGGTAAGTAGTTCCGCTTCCTTTCTGGTTGACGTTAGCCTTTTACTTACAACCTCTGCAGACTCGGGTTCTGTCGTGAGACCCAGTCAGTTGGGATGACCAGCATGGCCATGTACACCGAAATTTCGACCAAACCATGTCGCTATGCTATAATCAGAGAGACCGACACCACACACCGATACAAACGAGCCGTGACTCGAGCATACCCTGGACACTTTAAGACACTCAAGCCAGTCCAGCGTCCTTAACCAATTGGGCCAGGAACATATTGGGCACAACAACAAGCCAAGCTCGTCATTGGGCTCAACCATTTCAGCGGTCTGGCAAGGCAGCCTAGATACTTACATACCAAATCGACCGGGTTTTGGACCAGACACCCCGTACAGATGGATTACCCCCAGGTCTCCCTGTATATATTATATGACTTGAAACCGGGTAGAATGAAATTCGATGGAAATTCCTATTCCACAGGAACCAAAACCCTTATACTCCATTTCTTCCTGTCCAATAATGTACCCTCAGTACCTTGCCCCAGTAAGCAAATTATCCCTCCGTACTGACTGGACGCAGAACCTGCAGGTGCAATGACACGCATGAACAACCACCTAGGGTACCTAAGAAAAGGAATCCACCTATCGGTCCATCCTGTTGGACCCCGTGTGACAGCACTGGAGCAAGATCCGATCGCCTTGCTCCAGCCTCCCTACGCCCCTCCCCGGGGCTGCCGTAAGGAGCGGTCTGGAGCTTCAAATGTGCTCGGAGGTCACCGGTCTTTCTTGGTTCCCGCCGCCCGGTTCGAATCTTCCGGTCTGTGCTTTGCGTGCAGATGTGTTGGAAAGCGGACTGCATGCTTCAGTAAAGTACGTTAAATTAGACCGGTAGGTGACAAGGTGTTCTGTAGGCGTAGTCACAGAGTACCTAGGTAGGTACTTGAAGATAAATACTCTCCGTACTAGGTACCTAGATACCTTTAAATGACAACTTGGTATTTGGTTTGGTAATTTACTACGTAAAACCAGTAACAATTCAGTACTGTATTGTATTTATTGATACAAGTAAATAGATATATTATAAACCTACCTATATTATAAGAGTCTAACTGTATGGCAGGCTGGAATATATTTTATAAAGTACCTAGTAACTACTTTAGGTACTGTGTCACCTTGTACCATGAACACTGTTCATATCAAACTTTGGTATCTTATTTTTCCCGCGTCCCGATCGGGGGGTTAGAGCGAGCAGGTGCAAACATGCGAGCCAATAGAAAGCCAGGGAGATAAACGTCAACTTTGCTCTTGGACTTCTACCTGGTAATATACTACCTAGGATGCAAAGGAATGTTCTAATAATTATTGGACTTGTCTTGATGCCATCTTAATTATAAAGGACTGACTAATCTACTTGGGTTTTTTCATGGCTTACCTGGTAAAGGTCTGTCCCAGGTTACTACCTAGTACCTAGGTAATAACTAGTATCTTAATATGAGTCAAGAAAGCTGCCGTTACAACTGCAACTGCAATCATCAGTTTCGAATAATAATAATACTGGACACAGTAGTTAGGTGATGGTCAACTCAATGTCAATATAAGGGACTGCAGTCTCTAGGTACCTGCCCAGTACTCTGTACTTGTGCCAGTATAACAATCCTCGGCAAATGAGACAAATTATTACTGCCTAGGAAATTGAGTGATTTGTCGACTGATTTGGTATACTACAGAAGATCGAAATAGCAAGGTCTAACTCGATACCAATGAGAGGTGAAGGAGTACTGTAAACTGGAAAATACACTTCTCTTCCCTTCGATCTCCATCAACAACTTACCTCATCACCAGGTTCTCCTCTGAATTTATAAATGAGCAAGCTGCCAGCTTTCACGGTGGTGCCTTTGGAAAGAAGAAGAAGAAGAAGAAGAAGAGGCTGTGCAGCACCATAAGCCTGGAAAATGCATCATTTAGTATTACTGGTGATGTTAAGGTAAGCATACTCACTAAACATCCCCGAGGATCGATTTTTCTAATGTTCTCGACCAACAGGGCGAAAATACCCCGGCAGCCACAGCCGCAGTAATAGGGACAGCGCCCGGGAATAGAGGGACGAGATCGTGAATGGCGACGAGACGAGCACCTCGACCAGACGCAGTTAGGGTTGCTACCGACACTGCTTATAAGTTCTAGTCAATAATACCAAGCTCGTGGTGTTGGGGATCTAATACTGGCGGCTGTGAGTACATAAGAAAAATGCCAAGCCACCCGGATTTTGGACAGATGAGTTGGTGACTTTGTTACTAAATAGAAACCATTAATTTACCTGAGACAATAACTAGAAAACTACTGCATACCTCTTGGGTAGTAGGTAAGGTAAGGTAGGTAGGTTCCTTAAGAACCCGAGTATGGACGCGTGTAGCGTAGCAGAGCCCACGGTGGATTTCTACCCCTCCATCCAGAGAATAAGTTTACATGCATATCAATCTATCCAGATTCCAGATTAGCTAAATATATCCACAGTTCTCCATCCCTACTACCTACTCTGTGCACACTATCACGGAAATCCTCTGCCAATGCTGTGGCTGTAGTGGCAGGCTGGTTCAACTAGCGGTCAGAGTGCCCCTCATCGGATCGACCTCATGAAGTGGTAGTCACTGATATGTAGTACTACCCAGTACCTAAGTATTATTAGTATTAGTATTATTATTGGTACCTAAAGACCTCAGTAGTATTACTAGGTACCATCGGCATACCTCATAGTAATACCTTGCAGTACACAGATAAGTACGGGTGGGCTGCTTATGTAGTATGTAGTGTAGTATGATCACTATCCAAGTAAATACTCAAGTCAAGTAACCATCTTCATGCTCTGTAATCATTCTCTACGCTAGTGCAGCGAGGTCAAAGAGGAAAGGGTCTATTGGTCTTGAAAAATCCCTCGCTCGTTACGTCAAGCCTGGGAATAGTACTAGAGTAGTAGTTGCACACGAGCTCAGTCAGATGTGGAGTAATTAGACTAAACTATGGAGCAGTATTTACTAACTAGTAGACTGACTAGGAGAACACTGAGCAGTCAAGTTAGTTATACCGAGGGATTTGTAGAAACCATCAGATCTACGGTGGTCGCGGCGATCAGAGAGCCAAGACAGACAGGCTTGGTTGTACAGATTGGATCATTGAACAGGAGACAGGAGACAGACTAACAACGATATTCAGTCAGACAGAGAGAGAGAGAGAGAGAGAGAGAGAGAGTCGGTCAGATGCTCCTACAGATAGATTCTCATAGAGGTACTCCGTACTAGTTAGTTAGTACCTAGGCACGCCTCATATCTCGAGACAAAGCTTACCCCTCAGTAGACGGCAGCCACAGAAAGAAAGTATAAGGTAAGTATCAGCTAGCATCCTTTGTGCGGGGTGAAGCCATTTGATAGACACTTTCTTGCACAGCCCCAGCTGATTATCAATGCTTTTGTAGTTTTTTTTTATCTCTCTGGTGATACCTATAGGTAACTAACTACCTGGTAACTACCTTACCACCGAGAACAACCGGGAACACCACCGACGGCCGAAAGGAGGATCCCCCTCTTCAAGGAGAGAATCGGGATCATCAGTCAACCTCAGAGGAACAGGCGCCTGGCCTGTCATTTGAGGAGAGGGGAAGACTTGAGGTAAGTAAACGTCATCTGATCGGGTCTGAGAGTATTTAAGAAATAGTTAGTTGGAATGAGAAAAAATAAATAAAAGAATGACAAGTATTAATAATGTTTTGGTAATAATATTTTATATTATGCCAAGTAAATGCTTTGCTAATTAATTCCAAAGTGTAACAAGAGAAGGATGAAAATGAATGGTATCATGGTGGGTTGGCCACCATGCGAGGATGATCCGAGGGGCTTGGATTTGCCTCAATAGAGATTTTGTCAGTACCTAAGATTACCTACTACACAGCTGGAAAGTACCTAGGTATCCTCTATACTTACAACCATAACTACTAGGTAACTACTCCATGAGTCCATACTACTAGGTACGTAGAGTACATACTACATAGATTACCTAGTAGGTTCCAGAGGCTGGAAGGTACTGGTAAGATTGGTAATCTCATATAGTACCGTAATCCCATACAGCTGGTACAGGCAAAGCCACAACCCAGGGCGGTAGCGAGGCTCGCCGGGACTGTCCATACAGGTACCTCTCTGTACTACAGTTTTTTTTTTCCTTTGGGACTTCTCACTCGCTTCCCAGTGCCCACCAGGAAACGCCGTCCCACGAGCGGGCGACGTACCACACACCCCCCGGCGACAGCCAAGGTATTTCAAGGGCTTCTCCCCGTAGCCCGCGGGCCCTTTAATCCCTCACTAGAACTTTCACTCCACCATCTTCTCCTCCCCAATTCTTGCGTGGCGGCATCCGAACTCCCTTTCAAAGCCATCCGCTTGCTCAAGGCTTCTCTTATGAAAAGCATAAATTCCTCTCTGGTCGCCTGATCTGTCGTTCCGGCTTGTCGTCGCTGGGCATTCCGTGCCCTTGTTGCGCGCGCGCCGTGTGCTGTGCTGACTACTGTACTCCGTTTCGTCACTTTTGCCGGCGCCACTTTTGCCTTTGCCGTTCACTTTTCCCTCTTTTTTCTTTTCTTTTCTTCTCTTTTTAACCATCACTACGTGAAGAAGAGATTGAAAAGAGAAACAGAACAGCGTCGTGAGACTTGGTTCCGTCTTGCTCAGCGGCTCTCACCGCCGCTCCTCCATCTGCTGCTACGTCCGCTCTCGGTATCCCGTCCCGACCGTGTTTCCCACCGCACATGACTCCCCCTCTTTCGCCGGTGCCTTCCTCAGTCTCCTCTGCTGCCGCCTCTCAGATTTCACATTGTTCTCGAGATGGAGAGCCGCCGGTAACACGCGCCCTTGCGGACATGAGTCTGTCCGTCGCAGAGAGTACGGGGGGTGCGCTACACGCGCACCCCTCGGTCACCAAGCCGCCCCGGTCCACCATGGCTAACCGTCTATCTCGCATGTTCTCGAATACCGGGCGGTCGACCCCGAAGGAATCGTCGACGGACTCGCACAAGGACTTTTCGGATAGCAGCTCCGACAGCGCTCGAGCGTCCTCCATCACCGGCAGCATCAAGCAGACCTCCTCCAACAAACCCTCCTCCAAACCCCCCTCGCGCCAGGCTTCCACCAACCGTGGCGAAGTCGTCGAGAAGAAGACGAAACCGGTGGCCAAGGAGGCCAAGGAGGGCGCCATAGTCCACACGCGTTTCGAGATTTTCCCCGAAGACCACATGCACTGCCACCACCTCAAGAGCACCAAGCGCCAGGAGAAGCTGTCCAATCTGCTGCGGGACATTCTGGGCGGTGGTCGCAAGAAGGATGACCACGCCGACGACCAGCAGCTGTCGCTCATGTCCACCTGGATCGACCAGTTCAAGAATGAGCGCGACAAGCTGGCCGCCGACAAGAAGGGTGGACCCAATGCCACCGCCTCGCTCGTCGACAAGTACGGCAAATGCCAGGAAATCGTCGGCCGCGGTGCCTTTGGCATCGTCCGTATCTCCCACAAGGTCGACCCCAAGGACTCCAAGGTCGAGCAGCTCTACGCGGTCAAGGAGTTCCGCCGCCGCCCGCAGGAGACGGCCAAGAAGTACCAAAAGCGCCTTACTTCCGAGTTCTGCATCTCCTCCTCCCTGCGCCACCCCAACGTCATCCACACCCTGGACCTGCTGCAGGACGCCAAGGGCGACTACTGCGAGGTCATGGAGTACTGCGCCGGTGGCGATCTCTACACCCTCGTCCTCGCCGCCGGCAAGCTCGAGGTCGCCGAGGCCGACTGCTTCTTCAAGCAGCTGATGCGTGGTGTCGAGTACATGCACGAGATGGGCGTCGCCCACCGCGACCTCAAGCCCGAGAATCTTCTCCTGACCACCCACGGCGCCCTCAAGATCACCGATTTTGGCAACGGCGAGTGCTTCCGTATGGCCTGGGAAAAGGAACCGCACATGACTGCCGGCCTCTGTGGCTCCGCCCCCTATATTGCCCCGGAGGAGTACACCGAAAAAGAATTCGACCCGCGAGCAGTCGACCTCTGGGCCACAGGTGTCATTTATATGGCCATGCGCACCGGTCGGCACCTCTGGCGCGTCGCCCGCAAGGACGAAGACGAGTTCTACCAGCGTTACCTAGAGGGCCGCAAACATGAAGATGGCTACGCCCCCATCGAGACATTACATAGGGTGAGCTCTCTCTCTCTCTCTCTCTCTCTCTCTCTCTCTCTTCTCTTCTCTTCTCTTCTCTTTTTGTTTCTGTGGCTCCGGACTAATTTGATTAGGCTCGTTGTCGGAATGTGATCTATTCAATCCTTGACCCAAATCCTTCCCGCCGTATCAATGCCTCGCAGGTCCTCAAATCCGAATGGGTGCGGGAGATCAAACTTTGCAAGGCTGGCGAGGAAGGCTTTTAATGGCATCTATTCTCTCTCTCTCTTTTTTTTCCCTGTTGAGACTGGGGCTCGAGGAGGCAAATGCTGCTTTTTTGCTGGCGGAAACTTGTCTCCCTTCGTTTGATACAAAAAAAGACACCGCAGGTGGCTCCGTGACTCACCCTTTGGACCGAGGGACCCAGTCCTCTGATCGTATCCATAGACGGAGGTGTCTTTGCTTTTCTTTTTTCTCTTCTCTTTTATTTTAATTCATGATGGCGCATCTTTTTCTTTTCTGTCCGTGTCTTAGCATTATGGGCTTAGTTTGACCGTCATTTGCGTGTCAATGCAACGAAAGTCATGACATTTAATCCGTTCTACTTTTACTTTGAGCTTTGCCTGCATTCCATGGCTTTCTCTCTGTCCCTGGTTTCCCTGATTCCATGGTTTTTTTTTTGCCCCCCCCCCCCCCGTGTGGCATACTGACCACGTTCTGGTTCATACGCTGGCGGCCTTGCCAGGTTCACTTCTTCTATATATCTGGCGACGACTTCCTTCTTGCAGGGCTCGACCGACCCGCTTTTGACATTTGGCCGATGCGACTTTTCCGAGTTTCAGCTCTGGTAGCTGGTTTATGCCCTTCAACCCTTGTCTCCAGTTCTATCTAGCTGGCGGTGTTTTACTTCGTGTTATGCATTACTATTGTCTTCTCCTTTTCTGCTCTTCTCTTCTTCTGTTTCGGTCTATCGGTTTAAATTGGCAACCAATTCTGTATATACAATCTACAACATGCACATACTACATAAAACAAGCCCAGTACTGTCTCCTATATTCCGCATACCCTTCTAGCATCTACCCTGTTCTGCAGGCTAATATACCCACATGCAGTGTCAGCAGCTGCGTCATAGTACGCATTGCATGCTGATCGACGGCATATGACGGCAGATAGCAGATAATAGATACTGAGTCTAATCACTTCATTACCAAGATTACTACATAACTGATAACTAGTGTTCTAGGGGGTAACTATAGGTACCTAATACTCGTAGGGACTCCAGAGTCTATACAAGTACTACCTGTTACCTAGGTATGTGCCTCACCAGGTCCGGGTACCATAGGTACCTACCTAAGGTACGGTACGCTGGTACCGTACCGTAATGATTCAGCCTTCTGACGTACCCGCCACAGACACAGCCACGGAGCAACATCGTCACCATCTGGGCATCCATCCCATCCCATATTCGTTACATTCTCACTACTCTTTCACCTATCTCCAACCCTATACACTTCCTGTATACATCTACTGTATACCTTACCCCTTTTACCTATCTTGTTAATTCTTTTTTGCCTCCACCCCACTCACAGCCCCCGTTCCCATCATGTCGTGGGCAGGTAAAAGCCACCCCCGATTTCCCAAGCCATCGAATGTTCAATCCGACTGACCGGGTTCAGGCTTTAAGAAAAATGTCAACCGCGCAACGACACAGGTGATGATGAAGACAGGTTCGTTCTATACTAGATTACTAGATACTTTGACCACGGGTTGCATGCTAAATGCAAACTTCAGGGCATGTCGAGCGGACAAATGATCGGGACTACGAGATCGAAGAGCGGTAAGTCAAAGACAGCGTGAATGGGGGGGGGGTTAAAAAAATCTACAGAGATTAATATATTAGACGCTACCGTACTATGGAGGCTGCGGCGAACCGTCTACAGAAGGAAGCGAAAGGGTATCTGGATTCATTGCGGGGTAACTACCCACTGCCGTCATTGCTCATACTGGGAATACTATCATACTAATCTTTTCTAGCAATGACTGCCTCGCAAATGCGCATTGCCGAGACGATTGATGCCTTTTACGGAGATGCAGGGACGCGTGACGGGGTGAGCCGGAGTTACAAGCAGGCTGTTGAGGATTTGGATGCAGAGACGATTAAAGCGTTGGATGGACCGTACCGGTAAAAAAACACACATACAAGGGGAAAAAAGATACTATACCAGTATGCTGACGATCAGAACTACCGTTCTGGACCCTATCTCTCGGTTCTGCGCCTACTTCCCCGATATCAACGAGTGCATCAAGAAACGCAACCACAAGCTCCTCGACTACGACGCGATGCGGGCCAAGGTGAAGAAACTGGTCGAGAAGCCGGACAAGGACGCGACCAAGCTGCCGCGCGCGGAGCGCGAGGCCGAGATCGCCAAGCAGGCCTACGAGCAGCTGAACGAGCAGCTCTTCACCGAGCTGCCGCAGCTGATCGACCTGCGCGTGCCCTATCTGGACCCTAGTTTCGAGGCCCTGGTCAAGATCCAGCTGCGCTTCTGCGCGGAAGCGTACTCGCGCATGGCACAGGTGCAGCAGTATCTTGATTCCGAGACTCGGGACCAATACGCTCGCGGAGATTTGGATAATCGGGTCGAGCAGGTCCTACAGGAGATCAGGGACTTGAGCATAGCGGGGACGGTATAATGTTACATACAAACCACTACATTGTTAACCTCTATACTCTTGTAGCATGTCATTTAAGATGATTGTACATTTTAGATTCACGTTTCGCTCCAGTACCTTCTGTCTGTACGGCTTCCCCTTGAAAGCGGTTTCCGCGCCGTGACGATCCGCAGGCGGGTCATGACTTTGGATGCAGAGAGTAGCTCGGCCTGGACCTTCTGACAGAGCTCGCGGACGGAATTGGGAGTCCAGCGACCTGTTGCGGTGAGAGAACGGAGCGCAAAGGCCTCGAGCCCCTCGAGGAAAGCGATGAGGGCCATCTTGCCGAGGGTGCGGACGTGCGGGTCCTCATGCCACAGGCCGACGGGGATATTACGCTCGACGATCTGGACGTCCACGAAGCCCGCGGCGCGGAGGGCCGAGGCCCGTAGATGGCGCAGGTCGCGCGGCGTGCCTGCCTCCCTGGCGGCGGCCTGCATTGCTGCAGTGTAGATGTGGAGGTATGAATCGTTGGCATTGGGGAATGTCACCGTGTCGCCTGCGGGATCCATATCGGTGATCTCTATGTACCCGCCTGGTTTCAGGTGGGTCAGGCCTTGCTCGTAGATTCGCGACCAGTTGGCGAAGGCGCCCGAGAGGCCGCGCAGGTGGATGAGGTCGAACGTGTCGCGGTCGTAGGGCCAGTCGGCGGCGCGGGCGTCGTCGAGCGTGAAGGAGACGTTGGGCAGGTCGATCTCGGCCAGGGCCGTGTCGAAGACGGAGATGTCCGTCGCGACGATCTTTGCGTCCGGGTATTGTTGGCTCATCTCCACCACCCAGTCGCCTGGCCCGGTGCCGATGTCGAGGATGCTCGGGCTGTCTGTCGGGATCGGTGCCGTCGTCAGCTGGCCCTCCAGCACGATCAGGTACATCTGGTGCTCGATGTTGAGGCGCGTCTGCTCCGCCTCGTCGTTGGGCATGAAGTAGCTGCCGTTGCAGTACCGGCGGCCATTCTCAATGATATTGTCGTCGGCGCTGTCGACGATACTACCGTGGAAGGGAGAGCCTGTCGATTCTCTAACCATCAACGTTAGCACCTTGATTTTTTTTTTTTCAACGTAAGTTTACAATCAAAGTCAGGTACACTGGTTTTTTTTTTAACAAGTCTCACATCGATTCCACGTCCGAATCTGGCTCCACCATCCACCTTCGAGGGCCAGGCGAGGGCGCTGAGAGCTCATCCATGACATGACGGTGCTCATCGGTGTTCGACGAGGCTCGCCAGGGGGGGGAAGGAGGGGAAACGACGTTCGTCGCGGGGTCAGGGGAAGAGGCAGCCTTTCAAAAGGCCTTTCCTGACGGAACGGAATTTAGGCGATGGTGAGATCCATGTCGGCCGTCTAGACTCTCGCTAGCCATCCTAGTCTTTGACCTATTCGCGATCTATTTGCCTGGCACCACGATAGCTAGTTCGCACAAGTCAGCAGTGGAGCATACACGTGTACGTCATTTACGGAGCAGACCTAGGAGATCCCGGATAGTCGTAGGAGAGGATATATTGTTGTGGAGCTTGACTGACTCGACTGGTGGTAATTGTATGTAGTAGGGGAAAGTACTTGGTGGCTCATACGATATGCTATGTACTATGGAGTGGTTACTCATCCGACAATCCAGTCTGTGTCGAACAACAAGCCAGTTTACGCCGCAGTAACTTTCTTTACTGACAGCTAGTGGAGTTAATTAGCTGGCTAGCTATTAGTTATGAAATACTAGTTAGTTAGTAGTTATCCTGGTTATAATTCTGATTCTGAGAGACAGGGGGAGAGTCAGTGGAGAATCCTGCAAGTTAGACAAAGTATAATCAATTGAGGAGAAGATAGTTTTAATTAGGGAACTTTATAAGGGATAATTGATCCTATAGTATTACTTATTACCTGACAATTATGTACGGAGTAGTATTAGAAGTATTAGAACAATAGTGCTTTGTTTGAAAAAAAGGGTCTCAATAGAACTAAGGTACAAGCACAGACCTGCATTGTTCAATAGACGGTCTTACCATATTTTAAGCTCACAGAAAATTAAAAAAAAAATCTAGAATAAATAAAAAATTAATTCAATCCCCCCCTGGAGACTTACAATGACGCGAGCCCTCTTCATTGCCTCCATCGGCAACGGGCATCCCTACCGCTTCACTCGCCACAGCGCCGGCCATGTTCTGCTCGACGCTCTACGGCCTCTCCTTCTCACTCGCGCGCCCTTCACCGATCGCACTGCCTTCTACGAAACATGGTACAGTCCCTCGTATATGAACGAGTCCGGGCCGAAGCTGGTCCGCCAGCTGGACCGGTTCCTCTCGAAACAGGCCGCAGCGGCAAGGGGATCGTCGTCGTCTGCTACACCGGTCCAGTCGACGCTGGTCATCCTTCATGACGAACTAGAGGCAGCGCCGGGGAAACTGCGTGTGCGGAGAGGCGGCCCGGAACAGTTCAGTCTGCGTGGTCATCGGGGATTGATCAGTGTGATGGAATCCCTGCGCGGGAAGAAATTATATCCTCCAGCCAGTTCGAACACTACAGTTGCCAGCGGCGCTGGCTCGCTGTCGATTCTTCGCGTCGGGATCGGGATCGGGCGTCCTGACACTCGAGGCAAGAACGACGTGGCAGAGTATGTGCTCACGCCAATGAGCCAGACGGAGCTGGATGCCGTCAAGAAGGTGGCCGGGGAGACTGCAGATGTCCTGGCGAAGGAGTTTGACGTGGTATTATAGACTGTACAAGAGATTGATGTACTGTACAGCATGACTGTAGATAGATCGATGTTCCGTACAGCATGACTATAGATTCATGTTCTGTACAGCATGGCTGTAAACGATGCTCTGCACAAATGACTAGATTGATGTACATAGGTATCAAAGTTGGAACTTGGTTCTCTCTTTCTCCAATCCCCCCTTCCACTCCCATTCCTGCCCGCTCGCACGCTGGATGCCCTTGTCGACCCGCCGCAGTTTCAGTGTCAGACGCGGCCCCAGTTCCTGCAGACCGACCTTGATGCCTTCCGCCCCCTTCATCTCCTGCCCGTCGCTACCCACAACACTCTTCTCCCTTTCCCGCTTCTCGCGAAAGACGTACCGGTGTCGCCGCACAAAGATGTAGTCACGCTGGTTCGAGAACGAGATCACGTTACGGCCCTCGAACTCCGGTTGCGGTGGGAACATCGTCCGCAGCAGGTGCGCAGTCAGCAGGCCCAGCGGTGTGCGGAAGTTGTTGAGAATTAGCTCTGGCCAGTGGTCTGTCGGGTTTCCGTGGCCGGGAAGCTTCTTGCCATCAACCCAGTTGCTGATCGTGAAATGGAATGTCGGGCCTTGGGGGAGGTGTACCTGCTTTCGTTAGAATTTGTCGTATAGACAGATAAAAAGATGTGATATATACGTACTATCGTCAGTCCAGATGGCTTCTTCTGGTCCTCCTGAAGAACCACAAGAGCGGTAAAATTGCGGTTCGCTGCGAAGGACGAGATCTCGCGGATAGAAAACTTATGTGCATGCCGGTGCGCAGTCCGTCGGATGTACACGCTGTTCGGGAACAGGCTGGTCAATGTATTGGCCTGATCGTGGAGGGTACCATTAAGCCCTGTTGTGACTAGAATCTTGGGCGTCTTCGGGTTCTCCATAGAGAACAGCGTCGGGAACTTCTCGGCCAGTGCTTCTGGAGCGAGATTCAGATTCGTGCTCTTGGTCGAATGTGTCGGACTCGTCGCGCGATCTGTCGCCGTAGGAAGGCTCGATTTCGGTCGCCCACGCTTTTTCTCTGTGTCATTATCTTCATCATCATCTTCCCCTTCATCGTCGTCATCCTCCTCCTCATCGCTCGTAGCGATCATGCTGTCAACTTCGTCCTCATCATCCTCGGCGCTATCTTGTTCAACCTCCTCCTCCCCCCCCAGCTGCTCCTGCTCGGGTTCATCTTTCAAACGTTTGACTCGCTCGAAATCAATGCTGACCCCCAGTACATTTTCCGTATCACTGTCTACCTCGTCCCATTGCCGTTTTCTAATCCAAGTCAACACAATCCTCTCCCACAGGGAAGAAAAAAGAATGCATTACTACCCGACTCACCTCTCCAACGTCAACGGAATGTTCTGTCGTAGCCGCTCAGCCTTGAGCTTGGGATCTCTCGTCTCTTCCTTCCTCCGACTGTGCCGCTCTTTATGCCGCTCTTCGTTCTGGGTCTTCTTGCGTCGCACGTGCAGAGCCTGCCGTCTCAATTTATTCCCAGGCCGGAAGCCCTCGCTCGTATCAGGCCGTGACGACTGGCCTTTCCTCGAAACCATGATGGGTTGTATCGAATGATCCTGTTATTCTTCAGTGCTTTCCAAACCATAAATCTGCTTCTGCTGCCATTATTTTTTTTTTTTTTGCCCGGCGAATCGTTTCGCCGGCGGAGACACGCAGAGACACGCTCGAGACAAGAGAGACCAGGAGCGAGTGGTCTAATTAACCAGTTATCTAATTCTCAGGCAATGGTTCTACGGAGTGCATTTTCTACATCCATTGCCTCCCATCTCCCTCCATTGTCGGTCTATTTCTCTGTTCTGCTGTTGGGTTTGGTTGCCTCAGGCTCGGGTGGATGACTCAATTGCCCTTTTCTCGATTGTTCTTCCCCCGCAGAATAATTCCTCTCGAGCGCCCCGCCAGGACCTTCTTTCACACCACTTCCTGCTTCCAGGCCAAGGTAAAGGCAGCGCCGTCGAAAAAGAATCCCAGCATGGCTACTCTGAACACCAAGACCGGCCAGACGGTCGACCGCTCGACGCTCGAGTCGATGCTCCGCCGCCGCCTCTTCTACACCCCCTCCTTCGAGATCTATGGCGGGGTTTCTGGCCTGTACGACTACGGCCCGCCTGGCTGTGCGCTGCAGGCGAACATTGTTGATCTGTGGCGGAAACACTTTGTGCTGGAGGAGGACATGCTGGAGGTCGACTGCACCATGCTGACCCCGCACGAGGTGCTCAAGACCAGCGGCCACGTCGACAAGTTCGCCGACTGGATGTGCAAGGACCCCAAGACCGGCGAGATCTTCCGTGCTGATCACCTGGTCGAGGAAGTCCTCGAGTCGCGCCTCAAGGGAGACAAGGAGGCCCGCGGCGAGAAGGTCGTCGTCGACGAAGAGAAGGAGGCCAAGAAGAAGAAGAAGGTTAAGGAGACCAAGGCCGTTAAGCTTGAGGATGCGGTCGTCAAGGAGTACGAGGAGGTCCTGGCGCAGATCGATAACTTTGACGGCGACGGCCTGGCAACCCTCATCGCCAAGTACGACATCCGCAACCCGGCCACCGGCGGCAACCTGCTGCCCCCCGTCGCCTTCAACCTGATGTTCCAGACTTCCATCGGCCCTAGCAGCAACATGCCCGGTTATCTGCGTCCGGAGACCGCCCAGGGCCAGTTCCTCAACTTCCAGAAGCTGCTCGAGTTTAACCAGCAGTCCATGCCCTTCGCCTCCGCCTCCATCGGCAAGTCCTTCCGTAACGAGATCTCCCCGCGCGCCGGGCTGCTGCGTGTGCGTGAGTTCCTCATGGCCGAGATCGAGCACTTTGTCGACCCCGCTGGGGGCAAGAAGCACCCCCGCTTCGTGGAGGTCAAGGATGTCGAGATGGCGCTGCTCAACCGTGACGTTCAGCTGTCTGGCAGCACCAAGGTTGAGCTGATGACCATCGGCAAGGCCGTCGAGACCGGTCTCGTCGACAACGAAACCCTCGGCTACTTCCTCGCCCGTATTCAGCTGTTCCTCGAACGCCTGGGCGTCGACAAGACCAAGCTCCGCTTCCGTCAGCACATGGCCAACGAGATGGCCCACTACGCCGCCGACTGCTGGGACGCCGAACTGCAGACCAGCTACGGCTGGATCGAGTGCGTCGGCTGCGCCGACCGCAGCGCGTACGATTTGTCGGTTCATAAGAACAAGACCGGCGCCCCGCTTGTTGTCCGGGAGACCCGTGCGGAGCCCCTCAAGATCGAAGAGTGGCAGATCGACCTGGAGAAGAAGAAGTTCGGCCCCCGCTTCAAGAAGGACAGCAAGACCGTCGAGGCCGCCGTCGAGGCCCTCTCCCAGGAACTCCGCGAGAAGCTCTCCCTCGAGCTCGCCGAGACCGGCAAGGTCGTGCTTGATGTCGAGGGCGTCGCCTCCGGCAAGGTTGAGCTGGAGAAGGACCTCATCACGATCGAGAAGCGCACGCGCGTCGAGAACGTCCGCGAGTACACCCCCAACGTCATCGAGCCATCCTTCGGTATCGGCCGCATTCTCTATTGCTTGATGGAGCATGTCTACTGGTCTCGTGCCGGCGATGAAGCTAGAGGAGTGAGCTTTCCCTTTTCTCTGAG